TGCAAGGAGATCCAACCAGTCCATCCTAAAGGAAATCAGTCCTGAATATTCATTGGAAGGACTGATGCTGAAGTCCAATCTTTCGGCCACTTGATGGGAAGAACTGACTCACTGGAAAACACCCTGATGCTGGGAAAGATTGAGGGCAGGAGGGAAGGGGACGACAGAGGATGAGATGGTTGGATGGCATCACCAACTCGATGGACATGAGTCTGAGCAAGCCCCAGGGAGTTGGTAATGGACAGGGAAGCCTAGTGTGCTGCAGTCCATGGGGTCATAAAGAGTCAGACATTACTGAGCAACTGAACTGAGCTGAGAAAAAACCCTGAACCAATATATAGCCCAGAAAAACCGCAAAATATCTAGAGATTGTCAATTCAATATCCAGAGAAGAATTATTCCCACAAATTGCAGTAGGTATGTACTACCCTGTCTTTAAATTTCCACTGACACTGTTTTCTAGAGTACTGCTCCTTCTTTCAGCAAACTACCTCCCCTGAAGACCTTATTCTTCAAACTCTCCTTCATTTCAGTCCCATTTGCATCCCTGGTGTTAACTTATGGTGTGACCACTGAAAGTCTCTTCATCTATAATATAAAGTGGTTGGACTAGTTGGGCTGTCTAAAATTTATGCATCTTTTATTTGGCATATATCATATTATGTGCGGCACCCTAGGAGGGATGCAGAGATGAACAAAACATGGCCCCTGTCTTCAAAGAATTTACAAACTAGAACGAAACACAGATGGAATTACAACATAAGGCAAAAATGTCAAGTATCATTAAGAGAAATAAACATAATGTCCTCAAGGAGATCTGAGATCTGTCACTCACAACTAGAGTGACCAAGAAAGACTTTCTGGAGGGGAAGGCACTTCATCTGGGCCTTAAAAAGATGGATAGATTTGGAGAGAAGGAAAGAAGGTATTTCAGTTAGAAGGACTGGCATGAACAAAGTCAGAAAAGTGCCAAGTCATGCTTAAGGAAAAGTAATTGGCACCGAGTGGCAGCTGGAGCAGATGAAATGTGTAGCGTGGAGAAACAAGATGAGGCTGGAAAAGCAGGGTGAAAATAAACTGTAAGGGTCCAAATGCCAGACTGACAAGTCTGACTTTTACACCGAAGGCAATGGGAATCCATGGAAAAGCTGGGAGTCAAACAACCTGAGAAGTTCACTGTGGTTGAAATGTGGGAAGAAAAACTCAGGGATAATGAGAAATCAAACTAATCCAACAGGTCTAGCAAGAGGCAGAAAATGAGGGCCTGAAATAAAATGGACATATAAGAGGGATTTAATAAGCAGGTCTAAATAATGTTGACTAACAGAATTAATGAAGGGATAACACATACGAAAAAGAGAGGAGTCTTAGAAGGTCAGAGCCAAAAAAGTCCTCTGAAATCATCCAGTCTTGATTCAGTGATTCATTATCTTTTCAAGAAAGAAGGTCACTTTTAAATTTCTGGATCACAAACATTTTAAAAGTCTTAGGTTATCAGATGATCAAATACAAAGCATTTAAAAATCAAACAGTACAGATATACATAAAATGAAAAGTAAAATTCCATCCTACCATTCTAAGTTCCATTTCCATATTAATAGCTTCTGATGCACCTTTCAGATATTTCTAATGTTACATTGGCCAGTATTCATGTGGGTGTGGGAGGGTTCTGATTCTTTTCCAAAAATTACATATAATGGAATTATAAACTCCAACAATTTTTTCATTCAACAACATACATTAGAGATCTATGTCCATATACAGAGAGATACATACAGCTAAAAATTGAGTAGTCATATGTCATAATTTAAGAATCTCCTTTCAATAGATATTCAGGTCGTCCCTAGTTGTTTGCTTTTGTTTGGTTTTTGCTGTCAATTTCTGTTATGAATAAACCTGTAGATACAGTACATTTTGTGTGTGAGTATACCTGAACGTTAAATTTCTGTAACAGGAATTATTGGATAAAGGGTATGTGAATTTAAAATATCGACAGAGCCTACCAAACCGCCAGGACAGGACCTCTTCTAAAGAGAGAAAAAGTCAAGGACTTGGATGCGTGTTTGAGGAGCCCTTCCTATAGGTGGGCAACCTTGCCTGTCGCCTGCTAGCTATTTCAAGGATGAAGGCGGCGAGTCCAAACGACGGCCAGGGGGTACACCTCAGAGCCTGGACTGGAGCCCCGTCTCCGGCCGCTCAGCCCTGGCTCCTTCCTCTCTGAAATTCCATCTATATTCAGCCTTCACTGAGACTGGGAGAAGCCTCCCCCTTCACCACCCCCCATCCCCGGCTCCATACTTGGGGGTGTCACTGTCCCCCGCTCAAGCTGCAGGGTCCTCTCACCGATGGTTCTCGTTGAGCAGGGAGAAAAGCGGACCAAGGCGCAGTTCTGCCGCTTGCTCGCGGAGCTCGCTGAGCGGCACCGACTGTAGCAGCGACTGCAGGGCGCGCAGCTCCTCCAGCGGCGCCTCCAGCCGCGACACCTCCCTTAGCAGCGCCAGGGCCTGGGCCGCCATGATGCCCCCTCCCGCCGGGCTTCGCCAGTCAGCCCGCCCCGCTCCTGGTTCGCGGCGCGCTCCTTCGAGCCTCGCGAGATCTGCCCGGCGCAGCCTCCCTTCCCTGAGTTTTGGCTGAGCCCAAATCGCCCCGGCAGCACCAATAGCATTGCTCAGCTGCCGGGCCGCGCGCGTTCGGGAGCTGCCAAGCCTCGCGATACCCGGGCTCACTAGGGTCGCTGGTAGTTACGGGGGTCTCAGCCGTGTGTCATCATGGGTGCCGCTCAGCGGGCCCGCGTCTCTGGTTTGTTTGCTGCTGGCGCATTGAGCGCGAAGACTGGGTCAATGTCCGGCAAGCGGGGTGGTGAGAATGAGAACCAGCCGAAGGTTAAACGGCCTTGCCTTCGGCCCCCTGGCTCTAAAACCAAGCTGTGGTGGAGGCTTAGGCCTCCAGGGCGGAGCGGAGGCGGTGAACATCCTGCTCCCGGGCCAGACATGTAATAGAGGAGGCGAAGGGTCAGGCGTCTGGAAGATGAAAGTTCTCGAGAAGCTGGAAGAAGGCGTGAGTAACACCGACGTGGGGCCGTGCACACCCTTAAGCAAAACGAGAAGGCCGTCGGGGCCAGCATCGAGAGTTTTTCGCGCGTCTGCTCCTAGGTGCTGTGCATTCCCAAGGATGTAAACGTCGAGAAAATGGAAACTTCAGTTAATCTTTTGGGTCTAGGATTGGCGGCGGCGGGGGGAGGGGGGCGCGAGCCGGCGATCTCTATCGCTGAAGGCTGACCGCAGCCAGGCCAAACAGGTTTACATGCAATTGGTGGAACATGCAACTGGCAAGGACAACCCAGATGAGTTTCATGCGAGCAAGGGATGGTTTGAGAAATTTAGAAATTACTATAGACTGCGAAATTCGAGTTTGATGGAAGATCCGTTAAATACCCAGCCACCACCCACATATTCCAAGCAACTCTAGAAACTGATCAGAGCTAGAGGCTTTAACCTCAACCATCAAGGAAATGACTCTGCTTTGGAAGTGCTTGCCTTTGTGTACTTTTGGGGGAAAAGACAGAAATCCGGGAAACTCAGAACGCTAAGGACAGATTTCCCTCAGATTTTGTGCCCGTGCTGCAGGTGACAAAATGAATAACCCGTTGTTGCTTTATGAAGACCCCAAATTCCACTTGTTTTATGAAAAAAGATATAAAATGCTTTCTCGTTTTTCTGGCGATCACAAACCTTATCGTTAACAGCTACCCTCATTTTGGATTAGCTCCATAATGGTTTTATTCTTTGAGCCTGGAATTATTTAACTTCCCCAAATCTTGCCTTCAGAGTATAGCTAATAGTGATCCCAGTCACCCAGACTCATTATTCCTTGCTTATCCCCACGTTGTTACTATGCTTCTCTGTCTGGAACGCAGTAGCTATCTTTAGCCTTTGGATCAGAGTATAGTTGAAGCTTTCATGGGGTATTACACCAAGCATACGTTTGACCACTTTGCCCGTGGTATTGGAAAAAAAACAAAGACCCTTTGCTCACTTTAAAAGAAACATGGCAACAATTCAACACTGCTGTTGCTTTGGTAGTAATAAAAGAGGTGATGGATGATAAAAACCAGATGCTCTTGATAAAGCTTGGTGGAAGCTTTGCTGTGATGTTATGAATGATTATGCATGTTTCCCTGGAGCTAAAGAAGCTGAAAAAAAATCATAGTCTGCAAATCGGATGGGCTTTAAATTCATCAACATGAAACTTAAGTTTCAAGCTTTGGCAGTAACAGAGAGTCTGTGTCTTGAGATGACAGATACACGTCTGTACCTTGAGAGGGAGAAGGCAGATCTTTGGAACCAGAGGTTAAGATGAACCTGAAGAAACAATGCTGTCCTACACCAGGTGTCAGACCTCATCTGCGCTGCGACGCATGGATTCTTCCCTGGATGGAGGTTTGGCCTTTAAAAGAGACTTCAGTAAATTGCTGTATACATACAGAAGAGGTGCAAAACGAACCTTCAAAATAAAGTAGAGGAGCTGAAGAAAGAGAAGGAAGATACAAACAGTATTGTGGATGAAAGAGAGGGGTACAGAATCTGACTGAATTCCCCTCTGAATCCAGTAAGGAGGAGGAAAGAGAGAGAAGGGAAGGTGCCCCCAGAAGAAGAGCCTGTGATCTCAGGTGGTGGCACTGAGGTTCTTACTAGAGCTGAAGGGTCTGCCAGGGCCGTAAATGCAGAATTGGACGTTTGGAATCTGACCTTGGAATTGACTCTGAAGAGAGCAGAGGTGCCTGAATTGAAGGAAGAAGAGAATCCAGAGGTGGTTTCTTCCAGATAGCAGTTCATCCCTTGCCATCCTTTGCCCCAACGTCACCTTCATCATGACCATCCTTATTATCACCGGTCACACATCCGTATCATTTAGTCATTCAACAAATATTTATTGAACATAATCTGTGCAGGAAGCTGTGCTAAATTCTGGGACATCATCTCAGGATCTAAGGTAAAATGGTCATTAACAGTGACCTTTCTTATTAATATAACGGATTGAAAAGATCACAGTCTTGATTTATTTTAGTGGACTTTGACTATAAAGGGTTTTTTAAGGACCACTCAGCCTCATTTTTTCTAACCCTGTTTTTTTTCATACATGCTAAGTTCTTCAGTCACAACTGGAGATTTTCTGAGTTAACTTTGTTTGGTAGTGGCATGAGACTGCTCTTGAAATGCTGACATGGTCTCACATTTTATAAAACACTCTTACATTAATCTTCTGTTAATCTTCACTTTGGACCTATGAAAGAGGTATTAGCTCTTTCTTTACCAAAAAGAAAAAAGCCCCCAAAGCTCAGAGAGGTTAAGTAATTTGCCTGAGTCTACACAGCCATCATAAATGATAGGACTAGGGCTTTGCTAGAAAGTTATCAGGCCTTTTAAGAACAACAGTCCCAAGGAGTAAGGCAGGCAGGTGAACAGGCAGTCAGACACAGAAGCTGTGAGCTGGCAGCTTGCCCACCAGCTTGGGGATCAGGTGTGTTTTGTCTGCCCAGGTTAAAACAATTCCTAATTGGTTTTCAGCCTTCCCCCACCCGCTTTGCTAGAGCTACTATTTACATAGAATACAACTTACCAATTTAAGTGTGCAGTCTGTTGAATTTTTTAATGTTTGTGTAATCACTACTACAGTCAAGATAAAGAGTAGTTTTCCTTGGCTTAAAATTTACTTAGGGTCTTACCAGCAGTGTGATCATGTAAAAATTTAAAAATTTCACATTAAGAAGCTGGATTAAAAAATTGGAAACGCTGACAGCCATGGACTCTGCATCCCCAAAGGGCAACAGTCAGTCATTAGCTTGCCGTTTTTGAGTTTGTTTTAGCCACTGATGTTAAATGCTGCCTCAGAAGTGTGGACAGAGTGCCTTGGGGGAAATGGGACCTTGGGATTAACCTTGGTAAAGGCTGCACAGGCCAGCTGGCTTTGAAAGATGGGTGAGTTTACAGGGAGAGCAGGCAGCAGCAGGAGTGTTTTAAACGGGGGAGGATTAGAAGGGAGAGTCTGTGGGTGGACACGAAGTCAGCCATGTGTGGGCCTCATTTACTTGGGTTTGTTTTTATTTTTTTGATGGGATGGGCCTCAGTGGAAGAGTTTTGTGTATTTGTGTTTGTGGGCTGTGGTTTCTGAAGGTTTTATATATCGAAGAAGCTTTAATCTATACACCTCAGGGGATTTTATGGTTTTTGGTATGTGTGAAAATGGGGAGGGAAAATTAGTGTTTTTATTTTTGCAGGGGTTGGTTTGCACAGGGTGTTTGGGTTATATGTTTTTAGAGAGCTGCCCCGTGAAAAATGAGTTCCTCTTTCCCCGCCCCCTCCACCCTCTCCTTCCGGCCAGCCTGGCTGGGACCTGGCCGGGCAGTGAGGCAGGCAGCAGGTGGTTAGAGGAGAGGGGGCTCAGGCCCTTCGAGCCCACCCGTCCGCCAGCGTCTTTCCCTCAGGCTGCAGTTCCCATAGCCTGTGCTGGCTTAGTCACCAGCGACGCCATGGACAGACTGGGCTCACGGTGCCCTCTGCCAGGCTACGCACGGCCCTCTTTCCTGATATGCCTCTTGGTGAGTGTTCCACAGTACAGTGCTATGAATCCTCTCGCCTCTAAACCTCCAGCCTGGGGATTGAGGGAAGAAGGGGCATTTGTGTTGTATATTCCTGGGATTTTGAGCTGGGGGCAGGCAGGTAGGAGGTGGATGGTGAAATCCCTGGAGGTACCACCCAGTGTCCTGGAGACTGTGGTGTGATTCTGAAGCTTACCAGCACCCCTTTCTGCCCTGCCATTGAGGAGTGGTGACCGGGCTGTTTCACGGCCCAGGAGGGTGGGGTGGTGAAGGTGTCTGCTGGTGCATTCTCACCTAAGGGCCCCATGCTAGTTTCTTGTCTTCTTCCCAGTGCGGTTACCATCTCATTGTTCTGGGGGCTTGGTTGTCTCATCTCTGAAGTATCTTCAGATGTGGCTGCAGGGTACCTGTTCGTGGTGCTGGTGCTAGCTGCTCTTGGGGGCAGCTGCTCTTGGGGTGGTGGAAAGGACTGACAAAGCCCAGGGGTCTATCCCAGCTCTGCTGCTCACCTTTCTGGCAATTTCTTCCCCTCTCTGGCCCTTAATTAACTGGCACACATCAGTGATGCTTAACATTTTGGGGACTATAGATTTTCTTGGGGGGTGTGTGTGTGAAAATTCTGGATTTGCACCCAAGGAAAGTGTGTAGATAAGCACAATGTTAATTTCAGGAGTATTTACAAATTCCTTAAAACTAGGTATGTTATAAATTTAGAAACACTAGGTGGTTTCTGAGGCCCCTTCTGCCTTAACACAGATTGTAAAGTCAACCATAAACTCTTAAGGACGTCCCCAACTGTCCAGTGGTTAGGACTCCACAGTCCAGTGCGGGGGAGTTGAGTGTGATCGCTGGTTGGGGAACTAAGGTCCCAAATGCCTTGGAGTGTGGCCATGAAATTAAAGAAAACTAAACAAAACCATAACCTCTTAAAGGTTAGGCAGATACTCCAGTACCAAAAAAGGAAAAAGGCAGAATGAAGTAATTGAAAGGGTACATAAAATATTTTAAAACAATATAAAATTAGAAAAGATGTAAAGATATAAATATGAAAATGTTATAAACTTACAGTAATAAATACAATGTTTCTATTAGGAGATATGTTGATATGTGTATTTTGCGTGTAATATCACTTTCTAATGTACTATAGTCCACCTTTGATTCCAAACTGACCTTTCATATCTTCTGATTCTTTGTTGATATGGTTCACAAACACTTCTCAAGTCCATACCTCTTATCAGGGCTTGTAAAGTGCTGAGGATACAGAAATGAATCAGCTCACATCCAATGAGGAAGATGTATGTAAACTACTGTATTTCATTGTGATCAATGGTACAGTAGAAGGATGTTTAACAGCAATCCTGGCCTCCACCAATGTCATTTCCTCCCCAGTCATGACATCAAAATTGTCCCTAGATGTGGCCAGATGTCCCCTGGGGCAGGGGCAAAATTGCCTCAAGCTGAGAGCCACTGGATTAAGTGAAGCTGAAATAACCCCACTGTGTCACCTCCTACTGATGCTCCTTACAGTTCAGAGAGCCCAGAATGGGAGGCAGGAGTTTGGATTTAAGTCTTGGTTCAGTCACAGGACTGCCTCAGTTACCTTATCTGTTAAAGGAAGGACTGTCTTAGGTAATACCCAAGTGCCCAGACTACCTCTGAGTGCACAAGAGTTTCCGTACATTTTAGGTGAGTTTATATTTAATCCTGTGAGCTCTGTGTTCCACTGATGAAAAGACATAAAGATATAAATATGAAAATATTATAAACTTAGAGTAATAAATATAATGTTGGCTGAAATGCCCTAGATCTCTTCTAGGAATGGCTTCTTTGGTTAGGGGACAGACTGTTGCTCCTTTTGTTTAGAGTCCGTGCTGAAAGACACCTTAGAGTCGTGTATCTGACCCCTTAGAGTATTCTAGTATGTCCGATTCTCTGCCAAAAGCTCTGTGGATGACCCAGAAGCCCTACTTACTTCACAAGACTGTTTAGTCTCCATCTCAGCATCTTGCTGGTGTACAAATTCACCAGTCTGCAGGTTATTTCTTGAGAACCTGCTGTGTGCCATGAACTCTCCTGGGGACACAGTGATGAGCAAAGTGTGGTTCCTTTCCTTATTGGATTAGTGGTCAAAAACTTTTTCCTCTCTTGTTTGAACCCATGGCAACTCTGAGGTAGGCAGCACAAACATTGTAATCTCCAATTTCTAGGTAACATTTATAGAAGAGAGAGGAAGTAGCTTGTTGAAGACTGCAGAGCTGTACCAACACTAGGTTTTAAATCCTGCTGTTTAGTGCCTTTGTTTTATATCCTATATAATCTAATTGAGTTGTCACTAACAACTTCCTTGAAAACCCTGGCTGTTATTGTGTGGTCACTGGTTTAGTTCAGAGGGCTAGTATGTTGGACTGGAGGTTTTGGGGGAGGTCGTGGGAGGGAATGAGAGGCCCACCCCAGACTGAAGCTAAAGACACAAAAACGCTACTCAGGCCCTGCCAAGATGTAGGAGCCAGGCAGGGCCAGGCGATAACGTAGGAGTGGGAGGACAGAGGTTTGTTTGACGAGACATGAGCCCCGGACTGGCAGGCAGGAGAAATGTGTTCTTGTTCTGTCTTGCCTGAGTCACAGTGGGGTTCCTTGCAAGTTGCCTCCATCTCTATTAATGACTCTTCTGTATCCCCCAAGCAAAGTACCCTGGAAGATGTCCTCCAGTTCTTTTTATTTCTTCTTATTTTAGATGTCTTATCATTAAAATAGCAAGAAAAAATTGTATCTTGACTGTCTTTTCCTCTCCTGTTATCAGTGTCATTTTCTTACCTCAGGATCTTAATGTCTTTTTCCTGCAACATTGTAATGGCCTTTGAATAGCCTATCTCTGATCACTCCCCATCCTCCTTTCCACTACTCTGCTCAGCCTGATCATGTTATTACTCTTCTACTTAATAAACCTCCAAAAGCACCCTATCACCTGAGTACAAACCCCACATTCCTTAGCCTGACCCTTTATAGTTCTAGCCAGACTCATTTTCCTCCCAATTTCATGCACACTGACAAAGACCCATGCAGTCTAGATAATTCATCTGTTCCCAGATACCTCTTGAGTTTGCACATATTAACCTTCTTTTTCAGTCCTATTATTTCAGTTCCAACTTGGATGATACCTTCTCTTCAAAGCCTTTCCTGCCCCCAACAGGTGGAGCCTTTCTGTTGGACCTCCCCCACCGCCGGTTGTCTGCCATAGTAGCGCAGGTCCCATTGCTTTAGCATTAGACTTCCTTTTCCACTGGCCTCCCCACAGCGCCTGGCCTGCACCTCTGGTAGCAGGTTTTTGCAATGGGAATGGTTTTCAAGTTATCCAGGCTCCACTCCTGTTCTTGGCTTCACCAATTAAAAGCTGTGTGATTTTTTTTTTTTTTTTTTTTTTTGCGGCCATGCCACCAGGCTTTTTGGTCTCACGGGAGTCTTAGTTCCCCAACCAGGGATTGAACCTGGGCCCTGGAAGTGAATGCGCTGAATCCTGACCACTGGATCACCAGGGCATTACCAAAGCTGTGTGATTTTGAGCAAATGTCTTGATTTTTAAGCCTTTTTTTTTTTACCATTTGCAAAATGCAGAGGAAAATAATCTAGGCATGACAACATTAAGCACTGAAGCTCAATACTGATCCTAGGAATCACTTTGTGGGTGGGAAACGGGGATAAAAGCATGTTGCCCAGCGTTGGTTCCAGTCTGCTTGAGCTTGCAGGTGGTGAGCTGGTCACGCCTCTGCTGATCTGCGCTTTCCTTTCCCTCTGTGTAGATCCTGACAGCCTCTCTCCTGACATACCCCGTGCTCAGGACCCTCAGCCTGCAGCTCCTTTCGCTTGTCACCGGCAGCTATGTGTCCAGCACGTACTCCATTGTTTTTGTCAACTGTCCCAACGAGCAGATTGCCAGAGATATTGCCAGGTATGGGGAAGGGGCTGAGGTACTGCCCCAGGGGCTCGGGAGCCACCAGGAGGCTCCAGAGGGGCCACTTCGGGACTCACTCTTTTGCTTTTGACAACCCCATCTGTCCAGTGAGGGACTGCACAGCTGTCTAATGGGGGCGATTTGAGAGGCACGCGTGAATGACACTTGGATGGATCCTGTTTCTGGGCCTGAAAATGTTGAGTGGTGCCAGGGGGCAGATAAAGAGACCTGAGACCCAGAGAGCTAGGCGCCTTGCTCAGATGGAAGCCTACAGGCTGAGCATTTAACAGTTCTAATTCCTGACCCAGCTCTCTTTATTTCTGGAGATAGTCTTTGCTCAGTCCCAGAGATGTGGACTGTGACAGGAGGAGGAGGAGACCAACTCCAGGTGTTTGGCGAGTTCCTGAAAGCAGTGGTGTGGGGGGGGAGAGCCCACGACCAGAGTTGAAATCTCGGCTCGGTCTCTTGCTGACGGTGACCTCGGGCAAGCTGCTCCCCTTCTGTCAACCTTAGTTTTTTGAATTATTGTTGTTGAGAGGATTAAATGATATGGTATCTGTTCAGTCCTTACTCCGCTGACTCAAATGTAACGGATGCACAATAAATGTTGTATCTGATTCCCACCCCCTCACTCCTTTTTTGTTTTTTGGCTGCACCGAGCAGCTTGTGGTGTCTTGGTTCCCAGAATGGTGGTTGAGCCCAGAACCACGGCGGTGAAAGAGTCGGGTCCTGACCACTGAGCTGCTAGGGAAGATGCCCCTCCTTTATAACGGCAGCTCTGAAGAGGGTTAGTGGGGCTGAGGGCTAATAAACTTGACTTCTAGCTCCTCTTCTTGCTCTGCAGTTCCGCATTCTTGAAGTTTGGTGCTGGTTATAGTGTTTTATGTGTTGAATCTGGTCTTTGGGGGCACACAGCTGCCAAATTGATGGTCACAGGTTAACTTTGGGTTTGATTACGTCTTTCCTGCCCCTAAACAGAATGTCTATTTTTTTCCTTATTAACATTGCTTTTGGAGAACAGCTTTTGTCTGAATGAGCATATGATTACTCCAGAAATATGACCTCAGCTTTTAGCAGCTAGGAATTGAAATCCCTTCTGTGCTTCTGGTATACCCAGGGCCTGTGCCAAACTCACTGGACCCCTGGATCAGCCACTCTGGGTCCTGTCAGGAGCAACTTCAGGTGACACCTGTGAGGTGTTGGGTACTGTGAGGAAAAGAGCTCTAAGGCCTGGATTCTAAATAGTGGAAAGGCCAGTTGAGGGGAATGGATTGGTTTCAGCTTGGAGATGTCTCTGCCATCTTGCATCCAGGGTTGCTGATGAAAAGTAGCAATGGATCTCATTCCTTTGTAGGTAACACATTTTCTCTCTGCTAGTTTTTAGGAGCATATCTTAATGTTCAGTTGTTAACTTTTTAAATATACTCTCTCTATTCTTTCTGTGTCCTTTTCCTGGATGTTGAATTCGTTTTCTGTGACTGACTTTACAGTTTTATTTAGACTGAATTCTATAGTTTCCTTTTCAAGGTTTCGAATTGTTTTTAGTAACCAAGTGCTCTTGTTTTGTAAATGCAATAATCTTATCTTTCTGCAGATAGTAATTATACTTTTTATGTTTAATTTTTTGCAGCTTTATTGAGATATAATTGTCATAACATTGTGTAAGTTTAAGATATACAACATGATGATTTTATATATGTATATATTGCAAAATGATTATGAAAGTAAGGTTAGTTAAAACATCCATTATCTCAGTTACTTTTTTGTGTGTGGTAAGAACTCTTAAGATCTACTTTTAGCAATTTTCAAATATTCATAATTGTACTTATTTTAAAATCTTGGTTTTGATTGTCCTATTGATTTGTCTTTCTCAAGTAAATTCTTCTTCATTGGTGAATTTTAGTTTCTCACGGTGTTTGACTTTCTTCAGATGCTGTCCTCTCTCATCTTCCTAGCGATGCTGATGGGGACGTGCAGAAGCAGCTGCAGGAGCTGCCTTTAGGCAGCACTGTTTCCACTGCATGCGGGGCAGGCAGGTGGACATTCTGCAGTCCAGACCAGTTCCTAGGAAGAATTTATCGCTTCAAGAAGTATTTTCAGAAGGGTCAACCTGTATGATTCAAACTTTGACTATGTTAATGAAACAATATAATTTTATAATCTTCAAAATTCTCCAAGTTGCTGGAGGCCAAGTAAACCAGATCACTACCAGTTTTTAAAAGATTCAAAGGCCCTTAAGCAAGGAAGTCCCCTGACACGCTCCCGTGCATGTCTCGGGGCTGCTTTATTCTTCAGGGCTTCCTTCTGGTGGCTAGTGCGTACAGTGTTCTTCCTGTGCTCCGGCGTGGCTAGGTAAGAAGCGTTTCCTGTTGTCTCTGGCGTGCGGTGTGAAAGGGAGGTTGCAGTGTGTGTGCAGCCCACCAGCTGAACTGGAAGTCTCAAGTGGAGTCTCCCTTCAGCTGTTCTGTTCACTAATGATTCATTTGGAATAGAAGAGAGGCAAATAGATTTCATTTCCAGGGTTTACAGGACAGAGTAAGTGGGTACGTGGTAGGGAGGGCCCCACAGATGTTGGCTGGCAGGTACGGCAGCGCCGCCTCCGGGGCTGGTGCTGGGACCAGGCCTCTCGGCTCTAGTCTGGGGCCCGCTCTTCTCTGCCTTAGAGCTGCCTCTCAGCTCTGGTTCAGCTCCATTCTGGCTCCTGGTGATGTTCCTAGAGCTCGTCATTGACAGACACCCTCTAAACTGGAAAAAGTCTCTTGTTGAGGCTAGGGTGAAAACCTGAATGTGGAACTGGTAGACCTGGATACTAGTGTCCTCTTTGCTGAAAACACTCAAGTCTTCTTTCTCTGGGCCCTGGCCTCTGACATAAGGAAAGGGGATTAGACCAGGGTCACAGGCGCAGATAGCAACAGGCAGGCCACTTCAACCTGAGCGAAGTGGGCTGGGGTGTCACGATGAAGAATGGCAGTGGTTAGCAACCCTTATGCATCCCAGGTGTCGGGAGGAAGGAGAGTGGGAACCGACTGACCCGAGAAGCCCCTGTCATGCCTCGAGGTCGTAGCCCCTGGTCAGCTCTGGCTGATGTGACCTTGTAGGACTACAGGTCCAAGATGTTCTAAGACTCGTTTTTTGGTGAAAAGCTAGGTAACGTGTATTTTTGAATGTAAAGTACCCTGATTGCAAATACTGGTAACAAAGTCAAGACTTTTTAAATGCTGTGAGAGCCAGACCATGTGTCTGGTCCGTGAGCCCCTCGCCTGTGACCCCGCAGTCTCTGGAGGCCCGCGGCGGTCTGTCTTCCGCTTCACTCAGACGAGCGCGGGGCCTGAGCTCCCCACGGTGACTCACCGCTGGGCTTCGGTGTGTGTTTTATCCATCAGCTGGTACATTTGTTTTCTCTCTTTTTCGCCACAGGGGCATTTTGAATAACACAGTCCTCCAGAACTTTACAGTCTTTTTCCCAAGTTCAAGTTGCAGTGATTAGTCACTGAGGAGTTCACACTGCCAGAGATTGGAGGCCCGTGAAGCAATGGGTTATTTTTTTCCTAAAGGTTTAACTCACTCCCTGTGTTTGCATGTCACTTTCAGAACCAGTGAAATGTAATTTCTCAGCAGATGACTTGATTGAGTGAGCAAGACTTGTAGAAGTTGCTTAAACAGGTTTGGGCCGTGTGCCTCTCCTTAGAGTCAGGGATTTATTTACCACCTGGAACTTTCCAAGGGCATCAGGGTGGTGATAATACCACATTAATGTGGAACCTTAAATAGAACACTGTTCAGCCGGGAACCTGGGAGAAGAGAAAGTAGGTCAGTTCTCTTGGCAGCGGTCAAGGAAAGGTGGGATCAGTAAGCAGGGCTCAGACGCGTTGTATTTGGCAGGGGCCACACTCCTTAGAGAACTGAGACAGGCCTCCGTGGCTGATGGCAGACCTGAGACAGGTTTGTTCGGGCCTGCCTGATTCCCAGGGCTTAAGGTTTGATCCTTGGGGACACTTCCCTGTATCGACGACGTGGTGGTGCTTCTATTTCTGTGACACTTTGTACTGGTTCAGGCAGGCACATTTCACTGTGTTCACCAGGCCCCGCACAGGATCAGACTGTCAGAGCGAGAATTCCAGTCTGTGGTCCATCAGAAAAAAACCCAGTGCTTAGAGGTCTGCAAAGGCGGTGATGGTGCACTTGGGACTGTGGCAGGAAGCGTCACAAAAGTTAGAAGTGTAAGGAGCCCCTGTTTGCCAATCACTGGACAGGATGCCTTTTTTCTCCTTTCTTGCTTTTCCTTCGAGTTGTATCAGCTCCATGTGGTCATCAGACACTTCCGACCTGTAGATATCATGTGAAAGCCTAGTACCTACCCGAGAGAGAAGAGGAAAAGAAGCTGACATCCTCAAAGGAGTATTTGGTTGTGAAAAGGGTTGGAACCCATCGACTGAAGCCGTCCTCTGGTACAGCAGGAGAGTCGAGTTGAGTGAGGCGGTCATGCCTGTCTTGGTTAGGTGCTCAAATACTGATTTCTGGAATGAAAGAAGGAGCTCGCGTAAGGTCACACAGCCATCCTGCTGCAGGGCCAGACTGGAGTCCGGGTCTTTTTGTTCTGCTGCCGGTGCTGACAGATTCCCATTCCCCAAGCTGACTGGCCTTTCCTTGAAGCCTTTGCATAGCTGCTTCCCTACTTTTCCCACTCAGGGAACGACTTATAAACAGTTCTGTTTGCAGAGGGTCTATGCATGGGAGTTATGGAACATATTGGTTTGACTTGGGAGGGGCACTCTAAATGGTTATCTATTTAGACTAAGGTTTCCTGGGAAATTCCCAGGAACTCCTGTATCCTGTCCCATCCCTTCAGATGCTGGACACTTGCCCCAGTAACCGGCGTGCTCTCTCTGCTTTAGGGCTATCCTGGATAAGAAGCTGGCTGCCTCTGTGAACATCCTGCCAAAGGCCTCCTCACTGTGAGTTCTGCTATGGCCAGTGGAGGGGTGTGAGCGTGCTCCGTCAGGTCCTGCCTGGTGGAAATTCGGGCACTGAGCTAATGGGAAACTGAAAGAACAATTCAAAGGCATTTACTTAACCAATACTTCACTGTTGATCTGTATTCAGAGGAAATCAACCAGTGGGTTTATGCCATTCAGCAAAAGCAAAAACAGGCTATGTTTAGAGAAGGCAGAAAAAAAACCTACAGTTTAGGAACAGCGACTCTTGTTTCCTCATTCTTTGCTTAAATCAGTCAGTCAGTTAGCTTGCTGTTAGCAAAGAAGTCAGACTGGTAAGCCAGTCTGAGTAAGCCAGCTAAGGATATCAGAGATTATAATTCCTATTGCTTTTGGATTCTCTGAAAAACTGAGTTTGGCATGTGTAACAGGCTGTTTCTGTGTATTGTCTGCCTTTCATTTTATCAGCTCTTTTACTTAAGCCAGGCCTACACCATTTCCTTCATCAAAATATTTCAACATGGGTGGGAGGCGGGAGGGAGGGGACATAAAGCGCCCGTGGCTCATTCACACCGGTGTGTGGCAGAAATCAGCACAGTACTGTGAAGCGATTATCCTTCAGTTAAAAATAAATAAAATGGTAAGAAACAGTCTCGGCATCCCAGTGCTACCCGGGCCGGATTTGTCTGTGCTTTAACTCTCTGGTCAGCCTGTTTCTCACCTCCTTCCTGCCTTGACGAGAGAGGGAGCGATGCCTGTTCTAAAGGTGAGAGCAGGGAAGTGCTGAAGCATGCACGCTTCCCCTGCCCAGCGGTGATGCGCCCGTGCTGCTCCCATCACCTGTCGCTCTGGCTGCCAAGTCTGGCCGTACTTTAGATGCCTGCGCTCCATCTTGGATCTGTTTAGTCTCCCTGAGGATAGGGCTTGAGTCTCTGAATTTTTAAGAGGTCATATTAAGTGGTTCGCATAGCTAGTCTGGGAGCTAGTGCTTGGAAGCTAGAGTGGAATTTCAGCCTGCCATTCTCCTCATGTTCGTCCTTCCTTGTAGCTCATCCTTTCACCACAGTTCTGCGGGGTGAGGCCAGGGGCCGGAGCCATCTTAGACTTGCCCTGGGTCAGCACAGATATTCTCAGGCTGAATTTCTCTCCCTCCCATGACGCTGTTCTCTTACTCTTTTTCTGAACATGTCACTGACTCTGTTTTGAATTTTCAGACCTGCTTCTGTATTTTACAAGGCTCGCTTTTTCCCTGACTGAGTCCTGTGCTTTCCCATCTATCACTTGGTGGGCACTCAGCTTTGAGAGTCAGTGATACAGGTAGCACCAGCCCAGAGGATGGGGAGGTGCCAGGAGTATGGGGTGAGCACTGAATGAACTGGAGATGCCCACTTTGGAGGGGAAACATAGGAGTTTCCGCAGGGCTATCACGGAAGTCGGGGAGAACAGTTGGGTGGCAAATGTTGGCACACCATAAGAAAAACCATCTCATGTGAAAACCGTTAAGGCAGATGGACTTCTTCAAGAGACAGTGAGCCTCTTACTTGCAGGAAAGTTAAGTCAGGTGCTGGAAGCATGCATTAGAATGTTTAGGTGACCTGTAGGGCCTTGGCCAACTCCAGGCTTTTTCATATGAGCTTGGGAAGATTTTGAAGTTTCCACCTTAATAAGTCAGCAGATTGGGCAGGTTTATTTCACCGAGCTCATCTTGTAAGTGGACTTCTCTGGTAACTCAGCTGGTAAAGAATCCGCTTGCAATGCAGGAGACCCTGGTTCAATTCCTGGGTTGGGAAGATCCCCTGGAGGAGGGCATGGCAACCCACTGCAATATTCTTGCCTAGAGAATCCCATGGACAGAGGAGCATGGCTGGCTACAGTCCATGGGGTCGCAGAGAGTCACAACTGAGTCACACGACTGAGTGACTAAGCGCAGCACATCTTGTAAGCATGATATTTCTTTTTTTGTTGTTCTTTTCTCCAGATACTATTGGAATGGAGAAATAGAAGAAGCCACTGAGGTCCTGTTGGTGAGTGAGGCTGGGGGGATGGGGCCTTAATCGGGAAAGAGTGAGAGCAAAGTTCCAATTAAATATTAGCAAAGATCAATTGACTGAGGTTCTTGCCCCACACAGGATGCCCTGTGTCCATTTGTAAGTTAGTGGCTGGGCCTGGAGACCTGGAGGAGTGCTGTTTCCTAAAAAGCCAGAGGAATGGAGGGCTGTGTAGCTGGAGCTGAGATCCTAAACCAGTGATTTTTTTTTTTTCTTTTACAGTTAATAAAGACAAAGACTTCCAAGATCCATATGCTTTCCAGCTACATCAGGTAATAGCACCATTTCCTCCCAGCCAGGGACCTGTTGGTAACTGAGTGAGTGAGCTTGAAAAGTAGGTGACCTTGAGCCTAGTCACCAGCCTCCCATGTGACCTTGGCTATGACCCTGTCCCATAGACTCTCTATCTGTAAAATGAGTTAGTGGTGGTTTTTTTTAATTAGTTCATTTTTTAAAATGTTTATTTATTTGTCTGCACCACATCTTCCCTGGTATGGTCTTCCCTGATATTAGGGCTTCCCTGATACCTCAGTTAGTAAAGAATCTGCCTGCAATGCAGGAGACCCCAGTTCAACTCCTGGGTCGGGAAGATCCCCTGGAGAAGGGATAGGCTACCCACTGCAGTATTCTTGGGCTTTCCTGGTGGCTCAGCTGGTAAAGAATCCGCCCTCTATGTAGGAGACTTAGGTTCAATCCCTGGGTTGGGAAGATCCCCTGCAGAAGGGAAAGGCTCCCCACTCCAGTATTCTGGCCTGGAGAATTCCATGGACTGTATAGTCCATGGGGTCGCAAAGAGTCAGACACGACTGAGCAGCTTTCACTCACTTCACCAGGTCTTCATTGCAGCATGCGGAATCTTCAGTTGAGGCCTGTGAGGTCTAGTTCCCTGACCAGGATCGAAACCAGGCCCCCTGCATTAGAAGTGCAGAGTCTCAGCCACTGGACCACCAGGAAGTTCCTGTAAAACGAGTTATTAGTTTCAAACCAGTGGTTCTCAAAATTTTGGTCTCAGGATCCCTTTACACTTTTAAAAATTACTTAGGACCCAAAAGAGCTTCACTTATGTGGGTTCTATCAAAGGTTACTGTATTAGAAATTAAAGCTGAGAAATTTTTAAGATATATATTTTTAGTTCATTGAAAATAACAGTAATAGAATAATAACATATGAATGGAAGTAAATACAGGCATACCTTGGAGATATTGCAGGTTTGGTTCCAGACCACCACAGTGAAGCGAGTGATGTCACTTCTTGATTCCCCAGTACATGTGAAAGTGACCTGTTTACCCTGCCTTGCAGTATAAGTGTGCTACAGTAGCATTATGTCTAAAAAAAAAACAAAGTACGTACCTTAATTTAAAAATACAAAACAAAAAATAGTTATAGTAATATCAAAGATCACCAATGTCAGATGACCATAAGAAATATAATAATCATGGAAAAGTTTGGAATTCTGCAACAATTAGCGAAACATGATGCAGGAACACAGAGAGCGACGGTGGTGTCAGCAGACGTGTTCAGTGCCGGGTCGCCACAAGCCGCCAGTCTGTGAAAAACGCAGTATCTGCCCTGAAGGGTGCGCAGTAAAGCATTATGCTGGTAATGCCTTCTCATGGGAAGTAACCATATTTTCCAAAAATCAAAAAAGTGAGAAGAATGGCATCTTTCTACACTTTTGCAAAATCTGGCTTAATAAGAGAGCTGGATCTCCTCAAAAGCATCTGTTAAGTACTGAGACACTTTCAGGTTCATGGTGATGTATTCAATTTTTCCAAACTTCTGACTTTGCTTAAAACATGAATTTTTTTCTTATTTACAGTGTTTTATGACTACGATGTTACACAATGTGTGGTTTCTGCTATACGGCAGACTAACTCAGTTATGCATATACATATTCTTTTTCATGTTCTTTTCCATGATGGTTTATCACCAGATACTGAATGGACCTCCCTGTGGTGGAGAGTAGGACCTTGCTATTTACCCGTCCTGGGTGTAATAGCTTACCTCTGCTAATCCCAGACTCCCAATCCTTCCCTCCTCTACCCCAAAACACAAAAATTTTTTTAATGAATTTTTTGATTGGCAATAAATGATGTAAATTGTCATTTGAGTGATGGGCCAAATATTTGTTCATATTTGAGACAATGTGTACCTAATACTCAAACCTGAGTCACCTTAATTTGTGAAATTGACAGACAAATGATGGTTACTCAAGCTTGAAAGTAAAAGTGGTATACTGTGGAAAAAAGGTCTAGTTTAGCTTGTGACTCAGACAAATTTAAGACAAGACTGAACTTAGGTATGATAGCAGAAGTACTTCATGTATACTTTGCATTTTGTCACGCAGAATATTAAAAAGACACACTCAAGGGTCAGACTTTAATAAAAATAGTAATTTTTGCCACATTATCAGAAATGTTCTTAGGTGAATTTGACTTAGAAAACAACGCCTGTGCGTACGCAGTGGTGAAGAACACAGTGGCGGCCAGCCTAGTGTGGTGCTGCCGTCCTGATGATGCTAAGGTGTGACCAGTTTTACCCATCATTGCTTTTGCACCATGAGTGCAAACGTCAACATAGTGAAAAGATAAATAACAAATGAGTATTGTTGTAAAAATAGTTTTGGCCTCTTGGACCTCCTGAAAGAGGCTTGAAAGTTCCCCAGGGGTCAGAGGACTCCACTTGGAGAACCACTGGTCTAGGTATACATGAAATAAATTAGGAAAATTCATTCTTCTCAGGCACTGGATAAAATTACACAGCCTACTCCTACTGTTCAAGCAACTGTGCGTGCACATGTTGTGATTTAGTAAGCAGCCTCTCTCATGAGAAGTTTTCTGTGCCTAAAGTCAGGAGAGCAGAGGATTGTTGCCCTGGCAGACAGGTGGGACTGAGGCCCAGTGTCTTCTGCTTTTTCACTTTGCAAAGTGCAGAGAGCTCGTGTGCTCAGGGCTGGGTGAGAGAGACAGGGAGAAGGGAGAGACGGCTGTGTGTCTGAATGGCCAAAGAAGGCCCCTGGGGAAAGGCCACTGGTTGAAATAAGCCTTGAGGAGTAGAGAGGCTTTCGATTTATCAGCAGGAGTGGGGAGGATTTTCTGGGTGAAGACGATACAGAGGCACAGGGAAGGGGTTGCTTGGGGAAGGCACAGTGATAAGGGAAGGACAGTAAAAAAGACAGCAGCTAACGTTTACCGAATGCATACAGTGCCAGTCACTGTAGCAGCCAAGTGCCTTATATACCTTGCCTCATTTAATCCTCAGCAATCCAGTACTATTTTCACCCCCCTCTTTTGAGGGGGCTTCAGCGAAATGAAGAGATATGTCCATGCTTACATGGCTAGTAAGTGGCAGACTTAGAATTTGAACCCATGTCTGTGAGACTCTGATGCCATCTGGCCTAATTTATACTTGGTGACAGATGGGTCATAGGCTTAGGAGTGGTGGGCCATGGGGCCGGACAGGTGGGCTGCAGGCCGAGTGCAGAGGGCCTCAAGGAGGCCGGCCAGTTGGGTTTTATGGCCTAGGCTTACATGCCACTCACGGGACTCTGCTTTCTTCCCAAAGGTCGGTGCATCCTTTTGAAATCCCAGAGCTCTTCAGCCTTGCCATGGACCAAGGAGATGCGCACTATTTCCGGTGGCTGGAGGAGGCCACGGAGCAGTGAGTGGGGCCTTCTGTGCCTCCTGCTGGCCGCCTCTAGCCATCATCATGTTCTCTGGCCGAAGGGCGGCTTCTGTCTGCCTCCTCGCGTCTCTGGATTCCATGCTTTTATCAGCACAGAGGACCCAAGTAACTTGTGAAGGGTGAAGGTCTAAGACCCCTGAGGCTGGAAGAAGATTCTGGGCCAGTCAGGCCAAGCAAGGACCCAGTGGAACTCGTCTCTGAGTGCCTCATGCATAAAGGTGGCCAGGAGTGGCAAGGTCGCAGTGAGGGTGAGGCTGGTCTTCTGTAAGTTCATTGAGCCTAAACTGAGTGCCACGTATGTTATCACTGTCCTGCTTCTGATGAGGAATAACCTGATGACCTGTCACCCAGAAGTGTGTGGGGGTGAAAGTCACCTTCTAGGTGAGCTGGAAGTACTCTATCCAAAAGGATGAATCGCTAATGGTGGAATGTCAGGGACAAGCAGGATTATTTCCTCTAGCTGAAGGTAGTGTTTGTTATTCCCGAGTCCTGAGGAAGTGGGCCTGGGAATGGGCTTCCTGAGTGTGGGGAGGGCTGGGGAGGGCTCAGACACAGCCTCAAGGATTGAGAGCTGGTCTTGACTCTTTCCTCGCCCAAAGGTCAGAAAGCTGTGGTGCCTTGCTTAGCAGAGACAGGTTCTGAGCCCACCATACTGACCTTCCCACGTGAGCACTGAAACGAGCGTCCTAAAGTGGGAAGCACCCAGGGGAGCTGCCGGGTCAGTGTTTTCCAGCCTGGCTCCACAGAACCCCAGGGGTTCGCTGGGGGAGCCTCATGCTGCAGCCAGCGCAGCCATGCTTTTGTTATTAATTTTTATGTATTGAGCTGAGTTTTTGTTGTTACAAGTTTGTAAGCCAGTCTTACAGATTTTGTAAGGTCCAAGACCCCTGAGGCTGGAAGAGAATGCTGGGCCAGTCAGGCCAAGCAAGGACCTGGTGGAATCTATAAAGCCAGTTTTATAGATGACTGAAGGGAATTGAACTGCCCTGAGGTCCAGAAAAGGGGCTGCTTCTGTTACGAGGGGAGAGCCAAGGCTGCTCCTTCCGTCTGCTGCTCTCCTAGCCCTGCTCCGTGGGGTTGATGGAGGAGCCCCAGGGGGTGAGGGGAGAGCCTGACCTAGGCTGCCTCACGGCTTTGCCACAGGGTGACCCCGCTCAGGGCCCTTTGGAGCCTTGCCCCAGCTCGCTTTTCCACCGCCACCTTCCACCTGTCCTCTCCTGCCTGGACCCGTGGGTGGCTCTGGTGTGCCAGGCTGTTACCTTTTCCGGCCACCGCCTCCGCCTGAGCACGCTCTGCACGAGTGCCCGAGAAGTCTGACTGCCCCGCTGCAGGCCTGGCGTCCAGGCGGAGGGCTCTCCCCTGCCCTGCCGTCCTGCTGTCTCTGCGCATCAGGGCCCACCTCCGCTCTCTAGACTGTGCGCTGCTCGAGGGGAGGGGCACGCTCAGAGCTGCTTGGCCTCCTGCACACGGTTTGGCATATATTTCCCAAATTGATGTTTCAAGGATTCAAATAACTAAAGCTTTCTCTACTTCCCACAGTTAGTTTCTCATTTACCAGGTTGGCAAAATCCAATTATTTTTTTCCGTGAACTTCTTTAAAGTGGGATTAAGAGGTTGTTTCCTGTCCCTGGCTGTCCCTGGTTCATTTTCTGTGCTGAGTGTGCTTTGAAAGCTGTTCCCCGGTGGCCTGCCTTTGCCTCAGTGTCACAGCCGACTATGGGAAACATCAGCTCTCTGCAGGTCCTGTCCTAGGCCTTGACACTTACCCTTGTAGCCCAGGGTACCCGCATCTTCCAGCTGAAACCTGAGACTGGAGAATAGAGATGCTTAAAATAAGCGGCAAAACTAGGCTTTGGAACCAAGTCTCTGACTCTAAATCTGATGCTCTTATGGTCTCTTTTAAAGAGGCTGGATATCTCTCTTTGTAGGCCAAAGAACCTGCTATAGCCATCTCTAAGGAAGAGCTGTTCACTCCTAAAATGTCCACCTTAACAGGGTGGTAGCTTGGTATATTGTGTGGTTTACCTCTCCCCACAGATCTGGAGGTTAGTGATAATATCTTCATTCCATAGATGAGGGAACAGATTGAGGGGTACTTAATGATTTTTAGGAGTTTGCCCAACTCTACCACACTGCCCTCCTCGATGAGGCTGTGGGAGCTGGGGCTCGACATGAGGGTTTCCACCTGGGAATGCCTTCCCAGTACTTCTCAGGAAACATGGTTTTTGACTCCAGAACCCTGGGAGAGTCTGTTGAGGAAATGAGAAGAAGTGTTAAAAAAGTATCCATGCATACTGAAGCTTAAAGGCATAAAGGTTTGAAGGAAGCCATCTCCGTCAAAAAAAAAAAAACTAGAGCAGGAAACGGTTGCTTGCACAGAGTTGAGCCACAGTCACCCAACCCGGACAGGAGTGCAGAAGAGAAGGGGTTTCCACCTACTTTTGCCTGGGATTGTCTAGCCCTGTCCGCTGCAGACCCCGAGTTATTCCTGCAAATAAGATAAATGTATACATGTAGTATGCTTTATACAAATCCTGTGAGTGGTATTCTAAGAAATAAGTTTTGGAAGTAAAATAAATTCTTAATTTGGCAATTCTGACATTCGTCTGTACTCTTAACCTTGTTAGACTATTTGAATGTTAACATTATTTGAATACTATCCAGTAACATTCTATGGTGTTTTCCAGGGCTTAAATATTCCCTGGAGACTGCAGTTCTTTGTAAATACTACTAAGTTTAATAATCCTATTTATTAAACAGATTTTTTTCAGATTTCTGTAATAACAGAAAAAGTATGAAGAATGTGTGACGTATTTTAAGAGTAAGTTATGATTTAGGAATTTGTGAGAATTTTAATTTCTTGCTCCAAAATTCTGAAGGCAGACAGATGTGTGTTGTGAGTTTGTAAACACTCACCTAAACCACGCAGAAGCAGGCAGTCTCCAGCCCGGGGAGAGCCAGTGGCCTCGGGGTCCCCAGGGCTCTTCACTGCGGCCTGGGCCAGAGCCCGAGTCTCAGGGCCATCCGCCTCTCACTCCATGCCACTGGTTCCCCAGAATGAGCCACTGCCCCGCCCCAGCTTCAACTGTGGTTTGCTCCAAGAGCAGTTGTAAGGTCGCAGGAGGAGTGGTAGGAAAAAGTGGGAGCTGTAGTTAACGAGGGCTTCCCTGGTAGGTCAGCCAGTAACACTCGGGGTGTAATAGGCCACACTAACTCTGGAAACAGAGCTCAGTTAGGCCCATGGCCTTCGCCTGCCTGTAGCTTTTTCCTATCCCTTCCCCTCCTTTTTTCTCTCTGCAGACTACCCCTGACTTACAGAGGTGTATTTAAGGTGGTGATCTGTAACGTTTCTGAGGTGGTTCCTACAGCATCTAGCAGGCTGAACACCAGTGGGGATTCTTCCCGGGCAGGTGAAGCAGGTGGGGGCGCAGGGGGGCGGGATGGGGACTGAAGCAAAGGAAGCTGGCAGAGCGGGGCCAGGAACGCGCCCCGGATTCCTAGCCGTGCACCTCCAAGCACCAAGCATCCTCACGGGGTCACGTTCTAAGTTCCGGCCCCAGCTTGGATTCCTGTGGCTCTCAACTACTGTCTCCTGTCCCCATGGGTAGGGTCGTCAGAGCAGAAAAAAGGTCCTCTGTCCTGGTGGTAAAGGTAAGATCACTGCGAAGAGAATGTGGTGGCTGGTGCAGGAGTGGCAGGCTGATGAGAGAGGGGATGGGGCCCCACCGTTCCAGTGCCTTCCTGATACTTCACTAGAGCAATGATAGGTCGTTTTTCAGAGGGAGCCTTTAAATTGTAAATCAGACACATTAATTATAATTTTAATATAACAAATGTTATTAAAAGCAGCAATTCAAAACCATGAATCTTTCTGAAGGTGCACAGGGTTATAAGGTCAGTTGGCAGTAACGCAGCTGTCTCCAGGGAGGACTGAAACGCTGGGGCGTGGAGTCGGGGCCTTGCCAGGCCTCACGCTGAGCTCCCAGTGGGGAGACGCTGTCTCCCTCCTCCCCCTCTTCCAGGCCAGAGCCTCTGGAGCTTGAGAGGCGCAGGGGCACCGACAGGCCTTGTTCGTCCCGCGCCTTCTCAGAAGCCTGGGGGCAGAGCTGGGAGGTTGCTGTGCTCTGGGGCCAGGCGGGAAGCCAGGGACTGGCTCTGGGTCCCACGCACTGGTGGAGCGGGGGGCTGGCTTCTCAGCTTCCCTTCCTCTGGCCCCGTTAGGGAGCATCAGTGTCAGCAGCGGTGGGGCGGAGACGGGAGCAAACTGGGCCCAACCAGCCATCCCTGCCTGGACCACACTGGGAAACAGGAAGTGGGAAGGCTGCACACAGCAGGTGAGGGCCCGCTTGAAAGGCACTGCTGGGGCTGGGGCTGGGGCCTGAGGCAAGGGGCATCTGAGCGCGCTCAGCATCCCCCAACCCCAAAGGCCCACAAATGGGGGGTGGCCTAATAATGGAAAGACCGGCTCCAGGCCTGCAGCTGCCCCTTCACTGTTCATCCCCCTTCGCCTTGCAGCTGGCAGCCTCTAAAACCCAGCCAAGCCGGAGGCCGCAGCAGCAGCTGGCGAGCCTGCCCCCCATCTGGTGCACCCCTCGCCCCAGTCAAGGCACTTCTTTCCAATCAAGTGAGTCAGTTTCTAATGCCTCCGGAAGCAGCGAAAATGAGGGGTCTCCTTCCCCTCCCACTTTTGATCTCCCTCCAGACGGGTCTGAGTTTTAATGTCAGTTCTAAGAACTCTGTACTCCCGCTGACAAAAGCTTCCCCTTTTTTGAGGGGATGTAATGACTCAGGCCCTTAAAAAAAAAAAAAGTCCCAAGCTGCCCCCAAAAGTGATTGTCAGTTTCAGAGCTGGGCGGGGGCACGGGAGAAGGTGTGAGTCCCCAGCGCTTCCCTCTCGGCTCCAAGCTGGCTCACCGGCCCGAGCTGGACTTTCACGTTTCGTTGCAGCACGCGGCGCCCGTAGGAGGGCCCAGGAAAAGGCAAAAGGACAGGAGCCAGGCTGGCACCTGAGGAAGGCGTGGCTGTGTGTGTGTGGGGTGTGTGTACCTGGAGGCTGGGACCCATGCGAGCCCGGAGGCAAGAGCGCACACACAGATGGACGCTCCTGTGTGTGCGTGTGCACGCGCCCTTGGGCTGTGGCAGGAGGCGGAGGAGACAGTCTGAGATGCAGTAAGCAGGACACGGCTGCCTCTCCTCATGCCTCCCATCTGCAAGGCCAGCGCCTGCTCCACGGCAAGAGAGAGGGAACATGACCCGAGAAGGGAAAACGGGTCTCAGAAGCTAGCACTGCCGCCTGCGCCCTCTGCCTTCTGAAGCAGAGACCCAGCCTCCTCAGATCCCGAGTCGCGGGGTCTCTGCCCTGCAGGCTTCCCAGAGGCGTTCTCCCACCCTCACCACCGCCTCCCCAGCACAGGAGGAGGGGTGGGAAGGGGGGAGAGGCGCTCCACACGGCCTCTTCTTACCCACCTTCGCCCCGTCTTTCTCAAAGACTTCTGTCCTCCTGGCATGGTCCCCGGGATGGGTCAGGTGTGAAGGGCATCCAGGGGAGGGCTGGGTGTGCAAGTGCACACACCCGAAGGGGGAAAGGGAAGCGGACACACTGGGGACAGACTGGGGCCTCCGCGGAGCCAGGAGGGATGCTAACTCACAGGGACAGGTGAACAGCTGGAGGGAGCACGTGGAGACTCGGGAGTAGCCAGCGGGACCTCAGAGACACGGGCGGAGGGGCGGTGAGCCTGAGGGCCGCGAGCAGGCGGGGACAGCAGGGGCGCAGGCGGGGCCCGGCCGGGCCCTCGACTCTTGCTTCCCTCCCTCCTGCAGCCTGGGGAGAACCGGGGAGCCTGAGGCTTCCACCGCCTCTCCTTTGGTTTCCAGGGCTCCGGGCCGCCTCGGGGGGCTGGTCAGTAAGGGGTGGTCCCTTCCCACTCCACCAGGTACTGAACCTTGCCCTCTGGCGTGACCCTACGAGCCAGCACCTGGTACTTCTCCCCACAGGCGAGCCGCCCAGCCGCGCCAAAATAGTTGGTGATGGACGACTTGAGGTGGGACAGGGACGAGTCATCCTCACTGATGCTCTCAAACGTGTGGCTGTCGACGCCCTCGTCCGGCCGCTCGGGGCCCGAGGCCCCCTCTGCGCTGCTGTCCGAGGCGCAGCGTCCGCCCGGCTCGGCTGCCCGGCGCTTGGCCCGCAGCGGCACGTATGCTTTGGCTGCCAGCTTCCTCTTGCGGCTGCCCACCGTCCGTCTGTGTGGGGAGGGGGCGAGGCGGGGAGGGTGGGAATGAGATGGGGTCACCCCCCCCAGGCCCCGTCCCTGAGCTCCACCGGCCCCAGGCCCCACTGAGCTCACTGAATCCTCGCGGCGGCCCCGAGGAGGCCCCAGCGGGGGACAGAGCCAGCTGGGCATGGCGGAGCCGGGACCCAAGCCTAGCTGCACGCGTCTCCAGAGCCTGACTCTCATACTGAGGAGCTCAGCGCTGCCCGAGTCCAAGAAACAAACGTGTCTCCACCAAACCACCCGCCCCCACCCCACAGGGCAGAGGTGGGAGAGAATAAAGAAGAGGGAAACGTTCATAGACACTTAGAAACCCAGATCGAAGCACTAGCGAGAACCTAAGAAACAGGAGAGGTAAAATACGGAGGCAGCAGCAGAGAACGACACCCAGAGGTGTCTGGAGACCAGACGTACTCCGACGGGCATGACGCTTTTAATTCCCCGCTTGCAAGACCCACGAGAGCCCTAAGTACAGTCAGAGGAGCTTCGGGTGAGAGCTGGTCCGCGCACTCTGCAGCAGCCCGCCTCTGCGGCTGAGAGCTGGTCCGTGCACTCTGCAGCAGCCCCGCCTCTGCGGCTGAGGGCCTGCTGTGCTGAAGCACGCGGTGCCCTTCGCGAGGCTCCTGGGTACTGCTGTCCCCTCTTCCCAGTCCTTACACTTTGCAGGAAACCGTTTCCCCTCTCCGTCAGGTTCCTTCCCTTAAAGAGAGACCCCCAGTGGACAGACACTAGGTTCAGACAGCCTAGATCCAAGGCTGGGGACCTTGCAGGCAGAGGCATGGACCTCACAAAATCCTGGCACGTGGCAGCCAAGAGCCCGAGAATGACAGAAGCCGGACCTGAAACTGCCCGGCAAGAGGCGTCGCACACGCGGCAGCAGGGGCAGAGGAGTGGGAGAAGCGGCGCGTCTCAGAGCCCGACGCCCACACGGACAGGCGGCCAGGTCCCGACATTCAGGAGCAGAGAGCCCCCCGTCACAGGTGGGGAGTGGGGGGAGGCGGAACGAGTCCACGGCGCTGGCAAGCTAACCTGGAGTCGTAGGAGAGGCTGGTGGAAGCGGAGCCAGATGTGCTGGCGGCATCAGTGGAGTCCACGTCCGAGAAGAAGGTCTGGCCCGAGCTGGCGCTGAGAGGGAGGAAGCGGTGAGCCTTTCCCGGGCATCTCTGGCCCCCCTGCCCAGCACGCATCGTCTCGGCCGAGCCCCTTCCCACCGAGCCGCCCGCCACCACGGCGGTGGGCGCGCCTCCTCCCCCGTCCACTGCCTGCCCACCAAGCCTTCAAAGCCCCAGCGGTCACAGAGGCCTTCCCTGACCACCTCCCCGGTTGG